TACTTAAATAGAAAGTTATAAATTTAATAATTAAACTATATTAATAAGATTATTAATAAATTTAATTTAGAATAAAGAAAAAGCTCTAAATTCCTACTTCTAAGTAAGAAATTAGTAAAGAATCTACTTTATTAGATTATTATTAATTAAATTTATAAATTTTAGCAGAAAATAGGATCAGCTTTATATTCTATAATTTAAATTAGATTTAATATTATTAAATTATACTAGTTAATTTTAAAATATCTAATCAATTTAAGTTCTAAATATCTCAGAACTGTGAATTATTTAATCTTTTATTTAAAAAAAATAAAAAACTTGACTATTAAATTTAGCTCTAGTTCTATTTTATTTTATATAGCTAATAATATTAGTTTTGCTAATAATCAAGATTATACTAGCTTAATAAAATATATTATTTATTTATTTAATAGCTCTATTAATTAGCTAAGCAAGAAATAATATTATATAACTTTTTTAATTACTAAAGCTAAATTATTAGTTCTAATTATTATAATTAAATAACTTTTTTAATAAAGAAGATTTTTTAAATAAATAGGATTTAATTCTAATTAATACTTCTTTATATTATATAATAATTATTAAACAGTTAAAATTCTTATTAATAAGAATTTTTTATTTTAGACTAGTCTAAAATATATTAATATTACTAATTATTAGCTAAGACAAGAAGCTCTGAATAAAATAATTAATATTTAATAAATATTTATTAATAAAATATAAGTAGATAATCTGACTAAGTAGTTTCTTAATTAGAAATATACTTAATTTATTAAATAGTTAAATATAATAATTTATTAAATTCTATTATTATTATTTTCTATTTTAGTAATTTGTTTACTTTAGTTTTTTCTGATATTTTATCTTATTAAAACTACAGAAATATATTAATAATATAAGCAGACTAACTAGTTTACTGTCTAAGATTTATAAGTTTACTATCTAAGACTTATTAGTTTATAGTCTCAGATTAGTTAATTATCTTAGATTATTAGTTAATAGATTAATAATTTTAAGTTTTACTTATTCCGCAGTAGAGCAAGAGATTTTACTTTTATTAATTATTTTAGTCTTTATTTAATTACTAATTCTATTATTCTCGGCCCTATTCTATTTATATAATTTTTATATAATTTTTATATAATTTTATATATTTTTATATACTTTTGATAGCTAATTGACTATAAATATAAATAAAAAGATCTCTTAGTTTTTAATCAGTTTTTTAATAAGTTTTAATTAAGTTAAATCAGTTTTTAGTCTCTTTCTGATTTTTAATTCTTTTTATTATTTTTTTTATCTTTTTTTTATCTTTCTTTTATCTTCACCTTACTTTTATCTTACTTTTATATTTAATTTATATAAGAAAGTAAGAATTCAGTAAAGTCTTTCTAAGAAATCAGAGAAAAGTTCTTACTTAATTATCTAATCTTTGATTTTTCTTATTTTTTACTTCTCTTATCTTTCTCTTACTTTTATCTCACTTTTATATCCAATTTATATAAGAAAGTAAAAGTTCAATAAAGTCTTCTTAAGAAAAGTTCTTACTTCTTAAGAAAAGTTCTTAATTTCTTTTTTAATTATATTTTTTTAATCTAGAAAGCTTTTTTTTATATATTTTTAAATAATAATAAAGATAATTAGATTAATAACTATTTAATTTAAATATATCTTAATTATATTAAAGCTTAAAAAGATATAATAAATAGATCTTAATATTAAGAATAATTAAAATAATTAATTATCTAATTTCTAGTTATATTATAATCAGATATAAAAACTTTCTTAATCTAATTATAATCTGATAATTAGATATAAAAATTCTAATTAATCTAATCTGACCTGGCTGTTAGCCACTCTAATCTAGATATAATTCTGTTTTATTTAATTTAATAAAAATCTTTTATATATATTCTTAATATCTTTCTAGAGAGCTGCTTAAGTAAATAAATATATTATTTATATAAATTAAACAAAACTTATCTTAATATTCTTTAAGAATTTAATTAATAAATTTCTAAAAGATACTTAAAATATTAATAGGATTAAAAAGAATTATTAATTATTTATATAATTTATATTTTATATAAAAGATTATTATTTATTCTTAACTTTTAATAATTTATATATAATAAAAAACAGAGAAACTATTAAGCTTAATAAATTATTGAGCTTATTAAATCTAATTAAATATTTTCTAAATTAAAGATAAAAAATATTAATTCTTTTTAATAATTATATTTAGTATATAATAATTTATATAGAAATAAAGTCTTTCTTCTAGTTTTTATATAAAAAGAATAAATATTATAATAAATAAATAGCTGACTTTAATAAAGTTTTTATTTAATAATTTTATTAGTATTTTTATAATATTAATAATTTATTATAAGATATATTATATAAAAGATTTTATAATATCTAAGAATCTTATTTATTTTTTTATATTAATTTAATTATATAATTTATATCTTTGCTATAATAAAACAGTAATTTATTCGCAAATAAAGATTTAAAGAATTAAAAAAGCATATAATAATAAATATTTTAAGATTTTTAATTTTTATATATTAATATTATTATAAATATATATTTATAATAGCAGCAGAAATCTGAGTGATCTTTATTTTTAATTTTCGTGAAATTAAATTATATAATTCTAGTTTTTATTATATAAAAATATAATTAGCTCTATTTTAATTTTAGCTATATATTAAATCTTTTTATTTAAAATAATTCTAGAATAAGATTATACTTAAGTCTATTTAATAAAATATAAAAAAAGGCTTTTTTTAAATATATATCTATATTTAGATAAGTTTATATAATATATATTAAATATTCTATCTATTCAATAGTTTTTTTATTAGTTAGAAAATAATCTTTATTATTAATAATTCTTTTTAGTATATAAATATTTTATTAATTATTCTATAGCTTAAATAATTATTATTTATTAATATTTTTATTATAATATTATAATTTAATAATATTTATATTTTAAAAAAATTATTCAGATATACTTTCTTAAAATATTTTTAATTTAATAATATTTTTCTATTATTAATATTCTCTAATATATAACTTTATACAGAATTTATTTTTCTTAACTTTTTATTATTTAATATTTTAATAGATTTTATTATAGCTACTTTACTTAGTTTATTTTTATAATTTTATATAAAATATTTATTATTTTTATATTTAAAATAGAGTTTTTTTTTATTTTTTTTAATTGTTTTTAAAATTTATTACAGAATAATATTCTTCCAAGAAAGATTTTATTTTTTAAAAAACACTTTTTAAATAAAAAGTCATAATCTTGATTAATATAGTTTTTTAGTTTATTTTATTTAAATAATAAGAATTTTATTTTAGAGTATTTATATAATAAATATTATAATTAATCTTAAGAAATTAATTATAATATTCTTTATATAAATTAGCTTTCTTTATTTAAATTATATTTTTAATAATTATTTAATAAATAATAGTATTAAATTTAGTTTTTTTTTAATTATTTAATTAGCTAATATTATTAATAATAATATAAATTTTATTAAATTTTTTAAGAAATTTCTCTAGATTTTTTTTTCTTATTTTATTATTACAATTTATATAAAAGTCTTTTTTTTATATCTAAATTTTTAAATAATTAATTTATTATTTATAATAAATTATTTTATTATGTAATTTTTATTATTTTTTATTTAAAAATAATTTAAAAAAGTATATATTATTTATCTTTTTTATAAAAATAATTATAAATATAATAAATTTTTTTTATTTTATTCATAAAATATTTTTTATTAATAAAAAATTTTACATAAAGCTTTTTGTAAAAAAATAATATATTTTAAAAAAAATTTTAAATAAAATCTAAAAAGTAAGTTCAGAATTATATAATTAAATATTAAATAAAAAATAATATTTTTAATATAAATAATAATATAAAATATTATTATAAGCTTTTTAGTTAGATTTATAGCTGAGCTTTTATTATCTAATATTTTTATTATTATTAATTAAAATATATTTATTAATTATTTAAATCTATTTATAATATATATACTATTTATATAAATTCTTAAATAATTTTTTAATTATTATAAATTATTAAGTAAAAAGAATTTATTATTTTTATATATTAAATAATTTTTAATTCTTAAGAGATTATCTCTTAATAATAATTAATTTCTAATATTAAAAAGATAATTAAATTAAATTAATCTAATAATTAATTATTAATACAGAAAAAATTAATAAAAAAAATAAGAATATTTAAATTATATTTTTTTTATCTTTTTATATAATATTATTTTTTACTTTATTTAATTATTTATTTAATTATAATATATCAAACAAAGTATCCACACAGGTATTGCTGAGTCTTTGGGATTTGAAGGGTTTATACAAGAACCCCATAACATATTGGTCTAATAAGATAGACTAGCTAAGTCAGATAGCTCTGGGATGTATCCTATAATATAATTAATTTCTAATATTAGAAGAATACTGAATAATTAAATTATATTAATTTAATCATTAACTATTAATATAAAAGAAATTAATAAAAAATAATAATATTTAAATCATATTCTTTTATTTTTTTTTATAATACTATCTCTTGCTTTGTTATTGTTTCAGTATGTCGCGCAGATATTGTCAAGCATTTGGGATTTGAAGGGTTTGTACAAGAACCCCATAACATATAATATACTGCGGTTAAATAGTTCTTATTATATAATAATAATATTAGATAAAGCTATTCATAAATAGTAAGATAGTGATAAAAATAACATTATTATAACTAGCTAGATAATAAGAACTTATAGATAAGATTATCTATACTATTAATAGCCGCAAGTGGCAACTGCTCACTATGGCAGGTTCGATCCGCCTCCTTTTCACCGCCTTTGGCAGTACTACATCATTAAAGTCCCAGTCTTGAATCACGTGTATAGGCTGACGCGCGACACGCGACTTATATCACTAATAAGCTTCTCTGAACACGGAACAAAGATGCGATTTTTGCTTTCAGCCTCAGCGGATGGAAATTGAGCCGGTGGGTAAAAAGCGGGGTTCCGTTTCTTTGTTTGTCTTTTCCTACAAGGAGACCTTCCGACCTCTTTTTCTACTTACTCAAAGCATAGGGTATGGCTTATTAGGTATTAGGTCTCTTCATACTGCAGTCGCCGTTTCTCAATGCCATCAATGAAACGCCCTCAGGTATATTTGGGGCCAGAAGTCTCAAGCGAAGAGGATAACTCCAGCCCTTCGCCATCGGTAAGCGTCATCCGGTAGTGTCTATTTTGAAGAGCGAGCTGACCCGGGTACCATAGCAAAAACGCCTTCGGACATCGAGTTCTCTTGTTTCTGGAGGCAGTGATGATTCAGTAAATGATATCAACGAAGAGAGGAGGAAACGATCTATAACACAAGCTCTCGATGACGAAGAAGATGAACTTGAACTGCGCGCTACCCAAGTCATCCAGGAAAAGTATTCCTTCGCCAGTGATGAGCCAAACCTGCCGGCCGAGCATGGCATACTAGAACGCGTAGAATGTTACAATTTTATGTGCCATGACCAGTTCTATGTCGAGCTGGGGCCCCTGATTAATTTCATTGTGGGCAAAAACGGCAGCGGCAAGAGTGCAGTTCTCACAGCCATAACCCTTTGCCTAGGTGGTAAAGCATCTGCTACCAACCGAGGTCAAAGCTTGAAAAGCTTTATCAAGGAAGGCAAAGAGTAGGTAATACCAAGCCCTTTGAGTACAATGGAGTTCTAAAATTGGTGTCCAGGAATGCGACGATTGTCGTGCGAATAAAAAACCAGGGAGATGGCGCTTACATGCCGGATGACTATGGCAAGTCTATCGTTATAGAGCGTCACTTTTCCAGAAATGGCACAAGCGGGTTTAAGATAAAATCGGAAAGTGGACGAATTGTTTCAACAAAAAAGGCCGAACTTGACTCCATCATTGACTACTTTACTTTGCAATTTGACAACCCAATGAATGTTCTTTCTCAAGATATGGCCCGCCAATTCCTCAGCACATCAAGCCCCAGTGAAAAGTATAAGTTCTTTGTCAAGGGTGTGCAACTGGAACAACTGGACCAAGATTATCGGCTGATTGAGGAGTCCGGTGACCAGATTGAGGAGAAATTAAGAAGTAGAGAGCAGGATATTGTCATCTTACAAAGTCGAAGAGATGCAGCGAAACGGAAATTGGATATATCTGATCAACATGAATCCCTGCGACAGAAGATGAACAGTGTCCGAAGGCAAATGGCTTGGACCCAAGTTGAGGAACAAGAGAGGGTATGTACGTTTCTGTTAGGGATGAATATGTATTTTTGACAGAGAGCAGGTACGGGATTCCTTGCAGGACGAAATTCTCAGGGCAGACAACAACATTACGGTAGCTGAAGATAGCTTGGGTAGCTATGATGTTGCTATACAAAGGGCCGAGGGCGAATCTGAGGCCGCTACTGAATATGTTCAACAAGCCACTGCCAAACTCAATCAAGCAGAGGATGAAAAAAACGAAGTCAAATCGACCTGGGACGCTCAGATGAGTGAGCGACATGATCTACAGGTATCACCGGCCCTTGCCTCGAGCTCGCTTTCAGAAGATTTTTAACGTTGGTGCGCAGGCTGAGCAACGGCAAATCAGAGAATATCTCAAAGATGCAGAAACGAGAATTTCCAAAACGCAGCAAAATATCGATAAGGAGAATCGACGTCTAGCCGAGATCAGCGGTGGAAGCTACTCTAGAAAGCAAGCAGAACTCGAGCAAGCAAAAGCAGAAGCCGCCCAATTCCGTACTCAATATGAGGAGCACGAAAAATATGCCAGTTGTTTGGATCAAGACATTGATAAAGCCGAAAAGGAGGTGAAGTTAGCCGCAGTGCCACTGGCCAAACTCAAGGCCGATGTTGAAGAGGCAGAATCATCCTTACTGAATATGAACAGAAAAGGAGGGCCTCGGAGCTCAGGTTTCCATGAAAATATGCCAGTTCTTCTTAACAAGATTGAAAAGGAACAATCCTTCTCTAGGCGTCCTGTCGGGCCTATCGGTCATTACGTGCGCCTGCTGAAACCTGAATGGTCTTCCATACTCGAGAATTCGTTCGGCGCCACATTGAACAGCTTTATCGTTGCCTCAATAAATGACAGGGACATTATTTCAGAGATAATGAACAAGGTGAATTGGTAAGTATCTTCAGGTCTGCTTCAGTTTTGGAAGATTTTAACGAAAATTGAAGTGTTTGCCCTATCATCATAGGGGGTGATCAACGCCTTGATACATCAGACAAAGAGCCGGAACCTCAGTTCGTTACAGCCTTGCGGATCCTTCAGGTCAGATATTCCTTTGGTACAATCTAGTAGGGTTTCTTTTACTCTAATTTCAGCTTTAGATCGAGGACGAGTCAGTCCGTCGACAGTTGATTATCAATCATGGCATAGAACAGATGCTGCTCATTGAAAACATAGAGGAAGCATCCTCGGTTCTCTTCGACGGGGAGGCTCCTCGAAACGTAAAGCGGTGTTATTGCATTAACCAAGGAGATAGACGCAAGGGCTTTCATCTCTCTTATAGCCGGTCAGGTGAGCCAAATCACGCACCGGTTCCGGCCTACAATGGGAGCCCTCGCATGAAATCTGACTTGGAATCACAAATAAGGTGATTTTTGATCAACTCCTTCTATGGCAATGTCATTGGTACTCATAGCTTTTCTTAGAGTGCAGCAGAGTGTAGTGGCAGAACTGAAGACGAATCTCAGTCATCAAGAACAACAATTTCGATCTGCCCGGACTCGAGTGGAAAGCTGCAAAAAAGCCCGTGTGAAACATGAGCGAAGGGCCAACGAACTACGAGTTGCGCTACAACAAAAGGAAGATCGGGTTGAAGAACTCACCGACACACTCGATAGAGAAGCTGTCGAAGATGGGAGCCTTGATGTGCTACGAGCTACTCTTCGTGAGGCTGAAGAGGAGAAGAGCATTAATGACGGGTCTTTAAGGGACAGCGTGGATGCTATGAACAGAATGGTAAAGGCATTAAAAGCAGCCAAACAAGTGCTCTCAGCCAAAGAAGCCGAAATCACCGTCATAGCTGAAGAGCTAAGAGTTGCTCAGAATGAGGAGTACATCGCTAAAGAAAAGCGCCGAAAAATTATAGGTGATAAAAATGCAGCAATTGAGAAAATCAATGACAGCAAACAGGACAGGGAAAGACTGTACAGCAAAAGAGATGAGATTGCGGCACGTATTCTTGAATACAGCGAGAAAGCGAGCATAATCTCCCCACGCGTTGCAATTGATGAAGGCGAAACTGGTGCTAGTCTGGACAAAAAGCTTGACCATCTTGAAAACGAACTCGGACGCTACAACCAACAGTGAGTGGGAAAATTCATGTACTGTCAAACACTTGCTTACGATAATTTAGGCTAGGAGCGTCTCGCGACGAACTCTCTGCCGAAGTTGCGAAGACAGCTGAATCCTATGATCGGGCTCTAAAGCAGGTTGAGGAGTTCAAATTATTGGCTGAAGTACATATGATGCCTTTCTCGCAACAATTACACCTTCTAACAGTTAATCTAGGTACTCAAAGCAACACTTAAGCTTCGCAAAAACCGCTGGCTCATTTTCAGGTCACATATTTCATCACGTGCAAAAGCACAATTCACGTACCTTTTAAGTGAAAGAAGCTTTCGGGGTCGACTCTTAACCGACCATGAGGGCAAACTCTTGGATCTCCAAGTATGTGTCCTTACTATCTTTCCCCCTCAGCAGTACTAACAATGCTCCATAGGTGGAACCTGACATAACAAAAGACAGTGCCGGTCGTGGTGCAAGGACGCTTTCTGGTGGTGAGAAGTCGTTCTCTCAGGTTTGCCTTCTATTGGCGTTGTGGGAGGCTATGGGTTCTCCAATTCGCTGCTTGGATGAATTGTAAGGCTCCGTGTGTTTCTACCATCTCTTGAGGCTGATTTAATCTTGGCAGTGACGTGTATATGGATCATATCAATAGGAAGATGGCTATCGATATGCTTGTATGTTGGAAACACCAATGTAGTAGAGGCTTGCTGATGAGACAATAGATGCTCGCTGCTAGACGATCCATCGGGCGGCAGTTCATACTTATCACACCTGGGTCAAGAGCTGAGATCAGTCTGGCACCTGATGTCCGAGTTAAGGAGTATGTATATTCATGACATTTTATAGACTGGTACTTACATGACTTGTCCAGGTTAGCCGAGCCAGAGCGAGGACAGACAAGACTGCCCTTTTAACAGCAGCTTTTTAAGTGATTGCCACGTACCTATGTCATTCATTTTTCCTTTCCTGCCCTGTACTCTGTCTTTTTCTTACCACTAATCTTCTTACGCTCCCTCTTCTTCACATATTCGTTTTGGACGTCTTTCTCACGTGCTATCCTAAAAATGTATCAGATCTCAGCCTGTGATGTCTCTCGTCGTCATTTTATCCAGTAGATATTTCCCCTCCGGGTTGCGTTTGCGTTTGGGGTGTGAGATATATGGGCAATAATAGTTATCTGTCAAATTACACTATCCTGGCATGTAAAAATCGAACCTACCTACAAAGATGGCTGTCTTGAATACCTAAAAAGGTAAGAAAGCTCGGAGGAATTGGGTATTTGCGAAACTTAATCGGCTCACGAAGTGAGTGGTACACCATTCCATGAACAAGCGCATCTATGGGCATATCTATATCATGGATACTTAGCAGTGTTCTACCTAAGTACGCACCTAAAGGTAGGTAGGTATCTTAGTATCTATCCCAGGTACTGTGGTGGTATTGCCAGTGAACGAAAAACAAGCCGGGTCCAGAAAGGCGGTAAGCGCGCTTTGCCCACCCGGAACAGACTACTTACCAGTACGGAGTACGGAGCTCTACTGACTGCCAAGTACGTAAGGCCTCCTACGGAGTACCTCCGGGGCTAGGTATCTAGGTAGTTAGTTAGCTATCTAGGGGCTGAGGTACTCTGTAGTACATAGGTACGGAGTACGGACTCCGTACCTCGTTGTACCCTACCTACTGGTAGGTAAGTAGTAGTGTAGTTCTAGTACGCCGTAGAGCACATGACTACCTAGTGAGTGGGTATGCTACGGCATCTACTACCCCGTATCAATATGTATGGATGTATTATTCACCTTACCTCCCACCCACCACATTGAAGTTTTCCATCTTTCCCACTTCGCTCTTCCACGATAAGCCATTTGCCTTCTCTCCCTACGACCAACCTTTATCAAACAAAATTTCCTAACATCTCCAACATCTAGAAACTCAAACACACCACTGATCCGTCTGACTAGCTCGAATCATAGCCTACATTCAATTCAGACAACCCTTGGAGTCTCGTTCTTGACTTCCACATCGACGGCCTTTGCACACGGGCACTTTGCCTTAGGACGCCTTGAGGTCTTTACAAAGGAATCAACAAGTTAATTACCAGACCAGGCAGACCCCTTACATACGTCCCTCTCTCTTTCTTCTCTCATCCCCAGCCCTTGTATTCTGTCAAGTAGCCTCGTGCGTTGGCATCGCGGAATCACCAACTCATCCATCCACCCTGTCGCCTCGTGTGTTGTTCCTCCCAAGTGTTGATCAAGATACTTTGAAATATTGTGTTTCCAGCACCCTTAAAGTACTGGGCCAACATCAATCTTCTCGTGCTTGCTTGGTCTAATCTGGCTGCATCCATCAACAAATCCCTCCCGGGTTGTCTGTTCCTATATTGCCATCACTTTGTAACTCTTACGTCTCTCGATAATCAACCACCATGGCAGACGCGCTAGCCTCACAGTTGAACAACACGACTTTGGGGTATGTTATTTCCATACGCTGACTGGTGAATCCCGTCACGCTCTAACTCCATGCTCTTGTAGGGATGCAAACCCAGACGCGAAGTGGAAAGATCAATTAAATGTCCCTGCAAAGGATGCAAGGCCGCAGACTGAGGTTTGTCTCCGCGTATATCTGCATATCTAAGCTGCAGCCTGACCCGTTACAGGATGTGACTGCTACAAAAGGCTTAGAATTTGAAGATTTCTACATCAAGCGTGAGCTTATGATGGGTATATTCGAAGCTGGTTTTGAGAAGCCATCTCCTATCCAGGAAGAAACGATACCAGTAGCTCTCACCGGCAGAGACATTCTGGCGCGAGCCAAAAATGGCACGGGGAAAACAGCAGCTTTCGTCATTCCTACCTTGGAGCGCATAAATCCCAAGAGCACGAAGACACAGGCACTGATTCTTGTTCCAACAAGAGAGCTAGCTCTCCAAACGTCACACGTTTGCAAGACGTTGGGGAAACATCTAGGCATCAATGTCATGGTCACCACAGGAGGAACTGGCTTGATGGACGATATCATCAGATTGAATGACGCGGTTCACATACTTGTTGGAACCCCGGGAAGGGTCCTGGATCTGGCTAGCAAAGGAGTAGCTGATCTGTCTGAATGTCCTACTTTTGTCATGGACGAGGCCGACAAGCTATTGTCACCCGAATTTACACCGGTTATTGAGCAACTGCTATCGTTTCATCCTAAGGACCGTCAGGTCATGCTGTTCAGCGCCACATTCCCCTTAATTGTGAAGTCATTCAAGGTATGTTTGGATTGACCTCTGTCACTACCGACGCGCGCTAATATCTCCTAGGACAAACACATGCGCAATCCTTACGAAATAAATCTTATGGACGAGCTCACCCTGCGCGGAATCACCCAATATTATGCCTTTGTGGAGGAGAAACAGAAGGTTCACTGTCTGAACACCCTCTTTTCCAAGCTGCAAATCAATCAGTCGATAATCTTCTGCAACTCCACTAATCGAGTTGAACTACTCGCAAAGAAGATAACGGAGTTAGGATATTCATGCTTTTATTCCCACGCGAGAATGCTCCAGCAACATCGAAACAGGGTTTTTCACGATTTTCGGAACGGAGTTTGCCGGAATCTAGTTTGCTCGGATTTGCTTACTCGGGGTATCGACATCCAAGCTGTTAATGTGGTCATCAACTTCGATTTCCCGAAGAATGCCGAAACTTATCTCCATCGAATTGGTCGGTCCGGCCGCTTCGGGCATCTCGGTCTCGCTATCAACCTCATAAATTGGGAAGACCGCTTCAACCTGTACAAGATTGAGCAAGAGCTTGGAACCGAAATCCAGCCTATTCCACAAAACATCGACAAGAAGCTCTACGTTTATGACTCCCCAGACACCATTCCACGCCCCATCTCGAACCCATCGCAACCACATACCACCACGGCTCCCAACCCAAACACCGGAGAGCGTCGTCACAACCATCATGCAAATAGTGGACAATATCAATACGGCAGAAGCCGTGGTACCTATCGCGGAGGTCGAGGACAGGGTCAGCGACGCAGTATACAAAACGAGACCAAGTTTGGTGCGCCTCAAGGACAGTCGAGCAGCAAATCTCACCCAACACAGGTGTTATAGGCAGCAGTTTCAGAATTAAGGGAGTATATCTGTCTGCCCGTCCTGTTCTTTTTTTTTTCTATTTCTTTCTCCTCTATATTGTTATCTGCCCTCCCTTCTACTTCTTACATGAAAACGGCAAGTTACAATGACTCGTCTACTTGCTGGTCTGAGCACCTTTTACTTCTGCTTTTCGTACTGTTACTGTTGCCCTTTTTTGATTCGTTTCATATCAACTATGACCATACGATAACGCTTTGAGGTTTCTGTATTATACTATGCGCTGTCTCCGCCTTCTCATTATCTGCGCTTTGTTTTCTTCTCTGGTTTCCGTCTTTCATCATGCACCATTTTTGGACCTTGTCGTATCTAATGGTGTGCTTTATGTTGAATGGGCCACTGTACGCGCGTTCTTGCTTGATCAAATGTACATATGTTTCCTGACACTGCATCAATGATCCCGGACCGGGGATCATGGCGCTTCCTGGCTTTCTCCGTTTGACCTGTTGTGTTATCGGCGTTAAAGGGGGTGGCTTTCACGCTAACAGGCAGATGGTCATTGATCAGACTCCTATCTTGGCCGCAAGGTTTACGTCATTGCGGATACATTACACAACTCACAAACCACATTTTGAATCTATGTGCTTGCCTACAACGCTAATCTCTTGCTAAGGCTTTGCATTTCTACGATTCATGAATCCACTCCGGTGGTGTACTTTCCATGGGTCATCGGCTGCTGTTCGGTCTTTTTGTTCCAGGACAGCCTTGTCTTTCTGAAAATTATGTCCCGTCAAATCTTATTGTGCTATTCTGTTCAGTCTTGTTGGCCCTGGCATCATTGCAAATTAATTAGCAGCCTTAGCAGCCCTGAGCCGCCATTGGTTTGGGCCAAGAGACACCCCGTGGGCATCACAAAGACCCGCGGACATCAACATCTCTGAGGCTGGGGACAAGGGCCAAAGTGAAATAAGATTGATTTGCGGTCAATGGAAGGGGCTACTGTTTGGTACGCTGAGCAGGACCCAATTTAAAGAAATCAGAACTCAAATCTGCCGGGGGGATGAGAGAGAGTGAAAGAGAGAGAGAGAAGAGGGGGGAGGACAAGGGAAAATCCAGGGAGAGAGTTCCTCTATTACGGCTACGTTCTCCGTCGGTTACCAAGCGCTGAAAACTCCGGCTTGCGTTTATGTATGTAGAGTGTGTCTAGCGGAATGTCAATTTCTATCCCTGGGAAGCTATCGCGACGACAAATTGCCCCTTCGGCTTAGGGGGCTTTGAATGCCGCCCCAGAACATAGCATGGTTTATTGCTGTGTACTACACCGTACTCTGTATATCTTTGAAGCTTAAAATACTCACCAGCATGCCCGCTGCATTTTACGGGTGCTGCCCTCTCCGAACCCCGTATCATTGGGGGCTAACTTCCGTCTGGTTCAGTTGCGGGGGTGGTTAAGTGCCTGTCCGTCCAACCGGCACCTAAAGCTGCGCAATTCAATAATCAAGCTTCTACGCTGTCTCAACAACTCCCCTCACAATGGCAATCTCAGAGAATGATCAGAGACCAAAGGTTTTTCATACTCCAGCTTCCTGTACTGCTGTCACCCGTCAGTCGCATAACTAACAGTGACTCAGCCCAGCAGTTTGCGGTCAATTATTGCAGGCTCTACTGCTGGTGCAGTTGAGATTGGTAACGCACATCCTCATTGTTGCTCACGCACGGTCTGCTAAAAGAGAAACAGCAATTACCTATCCAGCTGAATGTATGACTCATACCAAACTCAGCCATAACTACTGCAAATTGACAAGTGTTATAACCAGTTGCCAAAACACGCTCCCAGCTTAACCGCAGATTACCCGATGCAAAGAAACTCCCATGGCCGCCATTTGGAACACAATGGTATGCAGGGTGCACAACCTTGATTATAGGGAACTCCCTGAAGGCAGGAATTCGTTAGTCTAGTCTTGTTTTACCAGAGACCTGTCTTCAATATGTTGTGGCTAATGCTGGTGTTTTCACTATGGCAAAGGATTTGTTGCTTTCGACTGGTTTAAATCACTTCTACAAGATGAAAATGGCAACATTTCCGGGCCTAGAACAGTTATCGCAGGCTTTGGGGCAGGCTTCACAGAGTCCTTACTGGCAGTCACGCCATTTGAGAGTATTAAAACACAACTGTTCGTCAAATCCACCATAATTTCTATCTGCTATGCGCTGTGTGACTAGGACTAATGTGTGCTGACTTATTGTCATCACTATAGGATTGATGATCGGAAATCTCAGAATCCTCGCATGCGTGGGTTTTTACACGGCAGTAAGGTTATATTTCATGAACGGGGTATTCGAGGGTTTTTCCAAGGCTTTGTTCCTACAACGGCGCGACAGGCTGCAAACTCAGCAACGCGGTTCTCGAGCTATACAATGCTGAAACAAGTGGCCCAGGGTTATGTTGCTCCCGGTGAAAGGCTAGGGACTGCAAGCACCTTTGCTCTCGGTGGTATAGCAGGCCTTATCACAGTGTATGTCCATTTCAAGTCATGCTCACGCTGCATATCGTTACTGGTTTTTGGTAGGAATATACTCATACTTTTACATATAGTTATATCACGCAACCTCTTGATACTGTCAAGACAAGGTCTGTTGTGCACCTCGCGTGTCCATCCCCTCTCTTTTTGAACCCAAAGGTGGGCACAGATTAACATGGTAGCAGAATGCAATCACTGGAAGCCAGTAAGAACTATAAAAACAGTTTTGTCTGCGCGGCACGTATTTTCAAAGATGAGGGTGTCCTGACTCTATGGTCTGGAGCTGTTCCACGACTGGCAAGGTTGATCATGAGTGGGGGCATAGTATTCACAATGTTTGTACTAAACAAGACCCGTGTTACTATTTATACCTTAGACTGACACATTTATACTCACAGGTATGAGAAAACCATGGAGGCGTTGGACTCTTTTGACCCAGAGCGGAAATACATTTGAGACTCGGGGACTCGGGGTAATGTCCATGGCGGGAATAAACATTGTAATGATTTATAGTATCTAAAGTACGTTATATGAAAGTATTATATAAATGCTATGCAATGTGGTGATTATATGCCAATGTTTGAATGAATGGTTACTTTGTCATTATACAGACCCTAGGACGGTGGAGCACGCAGCCATTCTTTGTCTTTGGCTGAATCCTCGGCAGCCATAGCCGCTATCTCGTTGTCAACAAGCCATGTCCGCACACTATCCATTACAGTTTCTAGACTCTTGCCACCATCGAGGACATCATCTAGGTTGTGTACTGTAAGACCACTTCGATGATCAGTGCAGCGGCTTTGGCCGTAATTATAAGTTCGGATCTTGTCGCCACGTCCCATCCGAGCAACACCACCCATGACCCCTCTCCTGAGCTCGACCATTTCCTGCTCCCGAGCTTCCTGTCTTGCTTCGGCCAATTTCGCTCGCAGGATTTGCCATGCCTTCTTCCGGTTGGCATGTTGGGACCGGGAATCCTGCATCGATACAACAGTACCTGTCGGGATATGGGTCAAGCGAATGGCAGATTCTGTCTTGTTTACATGCTGGCCGCCCGCCCCACTGGCTCGCATCTTCTCTGTACGGACTTCTTGGGGATCAACATAATAGTCACTGCTAGGGTCCTCGTGATCGTGTGAACTATCCAAGCCGCTTCCAGCATCTCGAAAACTCGGAAGAACCATCACACTGACCGCACTGGTATGGGTGCGGCCCTTGGCCTCCGTAGCCGGGACCCTCTGCACCCTGTGTACGCCTGATTCGGTTCTCAGAAGATCATAAGCTCCGTCTGCATCAACTTCCAATACTGCCTCGCTCAGACGATCATCAGAAGGACCGTCCCCAACTTCCCGTTTTAAAAGGTTGTATCGAAACCCACGATGTGAGCAAAACGTGATATACATCTTTAATAACTCGAAAGCAAAGAGACCGGCTTCATCTCCGCCTGCGCCAGGACGTATTTCAAGCAAGCAGGGAAGATCTGCGAAAGGATGACGGGGAATAAGAGCCTTTGCCAAGTTGTCTGCAATAGCAGGCAGTGTAGCCTTGCTACTTTCTAACTCCTCTACAGCAAGAGATCTCAGCTCGGCTTCGGTATCCGGGTCATGGAGCAAGGACAACAACTCCGATACAGACTATAAGCTGTCAACGAGGCTCAATCACACAGGAACCGGCTTACTACCCACTTTATTTGCATGCTCCCATTCCTTCAAGGTGCTTGCAATCAGTGCAAGCTCGCCGATTCGCTTTGCAGCTTTCGCATCGAATGCATCTGCCAAGTGGGCAGAGAGTGTGGAATGCTCTGTGGCCAGAGAACGAGCGCGAGCGAGTAAACCTGGAGAGAGGCCGGAATCTGTCACACATCTCATCAGTCACCGCTCTGTGGACTTTTAAGACTTGACTTGTGTGTGCGGATGCAGACCTGTTTTCAAACCCCGCCGCTGTAAAAGGAAGCGTTGACTTAAACCAACCCTAGCTGACCGTGCGAAACATTGAGAGCATACCCACAAAGCGTTGGACATGTTGCATGTTTCAGCCTTGATGAAGAAATTCATCGATCTCCTGCTATAGCCCATGAGCGCATCGCATCGGCGCAGTCACGTGCATCCAGCATGGGCGCAGTGTAACGACGAGTACTATGGAGTACTACCGTACCTTAATAACTACCAGTACCTACTGTAGGTATTAGGTAAGGTAATGTACAGTACACCGTGCGTGGTAGTCGTACTGTCTTCTGGTACTGTTTCGGTACGTCCGGTAATGTTACCGTCTGTAATGACTGTGTAAAGGCCAGACTGGTAGGTAGAAGATGAGTCGAGCCTCTTTCTCCTTGAACAACCAGAGGTAGCGAGCGTTCTGTCGGCTGTCGTTGTCAATGATAACATGTAACTTACTATTCGACCTCATCAAGGTCCCTCACACTCCTTAACGCTCATTCTCTGCCTCCTTCTTCGTTTTGGCTATAATACCTTCGGCCTATTATGCTATTGTTGTCCCAATTACATTCTTCATTGTCATAGTTCAATCCTGATGCTTCGCCGGCTGAAAATGCTCATCTCTCTGGATTCTCTTACTGTCTTCCTTACCCTCCTATCGGCCGGTCATGGCTTACAGGCCTCCCAAATATCTCCCGACACCCCGCTGTCGTCTTTGATCGCATCTGCGAAAACCCATCTTGCAGGCGGTTCTCCCCGCGAGGCGTTGCAGTATTTTGATGCGGCTGTATCCAGAGATCCCACCAATTACCTCACGATTTTCCAAAGGGGTGCAGCGCACTTATCCCTCAATAGGAATTCTCATGCCTTAGAGGACTTCAACAGTGTCCTGCGTCTGAAGCCAGACTTCGAGAGTGCCCTCCTACAGCGGTCTCGTCTTAGGGCCAGTTCTGCTGACTGGACAGGTGCATTGGATGATCTTGACAAAGCCGGTAAGCAGTCCTCTCCGGAGTATAAAGAGCTCCAAGAATCGCGTGATGCTGCGTCTGCCGCTTTAGATGCAGAAAAGAGCGGCGCATGGGATGCCTGCATCAGTCACGCAAATGTGGCTCTCTCCAAGGCAACCTTATCTCCCAGCTTGCGGCGGGCCCGAGCACATTGCCGGTTCGAGAAGGGCGACGTCGAAGAGGGTGTCAGTGATCTTATTCATGTTTCGCAAATATCTCAGGGCTCATTGGAGCCCTATCTACAAATATCGTCCATGCTTTTCTATGCCTTGGGCGACAGTGACCGCGGTATCTCACAGATCCGCAAGTGTCTTCATTCTGATCCTGATTCAAAACCATGCAATGGTCTATATCGGAAAGAGAGACTGGTCGTAAAACAACTGCAAAAATTGAAAGATGCTATGGATGCGCGGAAGTACAAAAATGCTATCAACATGTTGGTCGGGGTGGGTGATGAAAGTGGTCTCCTCGATGACGTGCGGAGAGATGTCGAGCAGGCAAAGGAAGCCGGTCACATTCATCCTGCGTCCCCCAACAACCTTTATACTTTTCTTGTCGAACGGACCTGTGAAGCTTTTTACGAGGTTTGTTGGCGCTTTTCCCGCTGCACAACCGTAATTCGGAACTTTCGCTAATTCATTTCAATCATTTAGGCCCAAATGCCAAAGCGCGCTGCTTCTTATTGCTCTCAGACTTTGGAGTTGAATTCCTTTTCCCTACCCGGACTGCTCTTCAAGGGCCAAATTGCTATTGATGAGGACCGGTTTGAGGATGCCATTGGCCTACTAAACCAGGCCAAAGAACATCACCCTGGTTCCAGGGAAGCCCAGGCGCTTTTACAGAAGGCTCATGTCCTACAAAAACGTTCTCGGCAAAAGGATTATTACAAGGTCTTGGGTGTCAGCCGTGACGCTGATGATAGGACAATCAAACGTGCCTATCGCCAGCTGACAAAGCAGCATCACCCTGACAAGGCCATGTCTCAAGGTGTGGCTAAAGAGGAAGCTGAAAAGAGGATGGCTGCCATCAATGAAGCCTACGAGGTTCTATCAGATTCTGAACTTCGAACCCGTTATGACGGCGGCGATGACCCTAATGACCCCGAGTCACAGAGGGGTAGGCCGTTTCAAGGGAGCCCGTTCGGGCACGGGGGTGGTCAACAATTCTTTTATCAGCAGGGCGGTTCGCAATTCAAGTTCTCGGGACAGGGTTTCAATTTTCCCGGCGGCTTTCCGTTCCGCTGAATTTGGTAGCCAACCGACATTTTTTAAAGCAGAGCCTACCAGAGTACTTCTTTCCTTCGCTGTTTCGTTTTTCTATACTGTTCTTACAGAGTACGAGGGAATTTTGATAATAGACAGTCGCCTTTGACTAGCACATCTAGCATCATCCTTGAAAATATGGGGCTTATACTTCCCATTTGCAAATTTCAATTTCGGGTATGCCAAAATCAAAAGAGCATTGGCATTGGTCAAACGTTGCAGACTTTTTGAACATCAGTCGGGCCTTCTGCCTATACTCCTTGTCCAGAGCAGCATCGTAATAACAGACATTTTGCTTATTTCTTCGGGCGGTCCGTCAAAGGGACGTAGCTGACCTGAAATACTTTCTCTTTGTGAACAGACCCATCCTCTTTCTTGTCGACTATCCATATATATTGTCCGCCGCCAAGTCTCAGGCTTCCTGTGGCGGTTTCATTGCCTTCTGCGTTGACGGGGATGAACATCCGCCCTGGAGCACGGAGCTGTTCAATCAATATAGGATGGAGCTGCTCTGCAGCTGCACCCACATGGATAGCATCATACGGTGCACCTTCCTTCCAACCCAGACGACCATCTCCAGTGATAAATTTCACTCTTCCATGAGAAAGATACTCACGCCCTTGTTTTGACTTACGCATGTTGTTTTGGGACAATTCAACCAACTCTGGGATGTGATCTATAGCTATCACTTGACAATTGCACTGGCTCGTGGATGAAGGACCTATGACGAGGTTGGCGAGAACATGGGTCAAGTAGCCCGAACCAGACCCAATGTCCAAGACGCGCGAGCCGGGTTGAAGGAAGTTTATAAGATATTCACAAGCATGGCCATGCATATGGGGGGCAGAAATGGTTGCTCCGTGCCCAATTGGTTGTGGCGAATCCGAGTATGCCCTCGATGGCGCGTAATGGGCTCGATCAACCTTGCCTACCTGTCAGATTATTGTATAGAGGTGTGTTTGGCTTGTATTCATTGTGGGTGATATTGGGGGGGGATGTCTGGTAGCTGTTGCCCTGTTGGCAGATGCATTGGATCAAATTATCCGCCATCTGCCAATATCCGGTGCCCGTGGGGGTTGGGAGGGGTTGGGTGGTGAAATTTGCTCACTCCTAGCATCGCCTTTTTCACTCTTTCATTCTTTATCAATCCAGTCTTGGACAAGTTCTCAATCAGCTCACTATTTGTGGAGCCAGAACAGTACCACGCCATTGAAACGGGCTTCTTGATGGCCTTTCCGGACAATAAAACAGCACTTGGATGTCTCTTGGACATCAGCTATGTGACTCTTTGGCCTTGTAGTTTGGGGAATCCAGCGGGCCAGTTATGCTTGGCTCGTGAATTTATGTCTGGAAATGACAATGTAATGTTTATAGTAAAAGAGAAGAACTGCAAAATCTCCAGTCTTGTGCCGGGATTCTGCTGGTGTTGGTGCCATTGTCAAGTAGTAGTAGTAGGTATGTGTAAAAGTATGAGTGTTATGGAGGTGGGGTAGTTACTATATATGACGTCATGGTGATCACTGTCATTCTTTACAGATGTACATGGGCGATGGGTGATTGTTTTGATCACTGTCACGTGCCCTTCTCGTATACTTCTTTAGGTCGATGCGGAGCCTGTATTGGGCAGTTCTTCACAACAAGAAACATGCATTTCATGGTTGACCTACTGTATTCCATGCTATAATACATGGGCATGGTCATAGGAGATCTGGGAGTACGAGGGCAGAGGAGGGTGTCATGGAGCTGTGCAGATATTCAACTTTGATTTGAACATACATGTATTAGTATATATATTCGACAGTACCATGAACAGCATATGCATTAAAACACCTGGGCCATCTCTGAGAGCCTCCTAGCTAGGTCTGGTAGCCAAAGAGTAATACCCAACCGTTTAGAAGATCCACAGCCTTCAAAGTTATGCAATACCCAACACTGTAGGGTTGCAGTTAAAAAGTCGTAACAGATAGTAGGCGAGAACTATGTACTTGACTAGTACGAAAATGCGGCCGAGGTAACTTAGGTATCTAGCTAATAATACCTAAGACCCGAAGGAGTACTACAGTACTCCACAGTACAGGCTAATATTAACTACCGTACTACGATTGGCCCGCTCCGTCTCATTCCTTAGTCACACGAGTCGGTAACTAACTAACTAGTTAGTAACTACTAGTTACCTACCCAGTATCAAGACTTGTAGATACCTCGAGGTACTACCAGTTTCATGAGGGGAGCTTCTGTCTGAGCAGTCACGTGTTCCCCATACCGTCATTCTTGATGTTTATCTACATAGCACCATCCTGGATTCAAAATGCCATATCGGCAATACCATGCAGTGATTACCCGAAAAAGACGGAATGGCCCATAGGCCTCAATACCATATTCATGCACAATGGAAAACATGCCAGATGCAGATCCAGATACCCGAGCAGAGGTAGATCTTATGATATTGGATTATATTGTTTGCACTACCATCGAACTTGCCCTATACCATGGGAAAGAAAAGAGCGAAGGACGACATCCAAGTAACAGGAGCCTCAGCTGGCAGTTCAACACCACCAATTGTAAGTAAGCCCACGGGCCAGTCAACTGGGAGTGTGAATATTAACATTTGGTTCAAAGCTACCAGAACTGTACTTTTGCATCCTGATCCTCTTCCCAGAGACATGAACATCAAAATCCAGGTTCTAGAATTCGCACAACTATTCTTTAAAAATCTCGTGTTTGCAGACCAAGAACATGCGCCATCCATTGAAGTGTTGCAGGACGGGATGTGCACAGATTATGTGAACGAAAATACCGTGACAGAAAACCAAACACGCCCATCTCGGACAAAACTACCATCCGGAGAGGATAGATTGCGGACCCGCAATGCCTACCCATGTTTTCATACATTAGTTGAATTGATCACCCTTTGCTCCTTGGCAGATAAGAAACTGCCTGGGGATATAATCGAGCATTTCGTCGCACTCGCCGCGTGGGATGTGTATCGCCTGGAGGATAGATCCCCCAATGGGTACAAGATTTTCATGTCCCATGCTTCTGAACGGCTGCATGGAACACCATACGCAAGGTTTGTACAGGAATACTTGAGCAACTTCCAGCCACCTATCGACCCCCCACCCGGTACACGTACCGGGACCCCGCCGCAGGAATTACTTCAAAACAAATTGCAGAGGTCGGTGTTCGATTTCCTCGCCTGTCTGATGAAAACGTTAGACTCCCCAGTACTCATTCAACTCGAAAGGGGTAAACTTGTGGGATTGAGTCGGGAAGAAACCGAACAGCTGAAGGGTAGAGTGGGGCTCTGATACCAAAATAAAGCAAGAACGCAGACGGTCAGTCTGATCTTAGAATCCAAAGTTATAAAATGGACACAGGAGAAAGTAGCAGAATTTGATGGATTTAGGATAGTATGCTAATGGGTTTGGGTTTTCATACAAAAATTGTAAGTCTACATAGCAAAATGTGCAAAAAGAGACGCGGAAAACTGGAAGGAGCCCATTGAAACATTCGCTATCCAACTAGTGAGTTAGTACATGAATTTTAGCCCAACAGCATACGGCGGGGATCTTCAATGTATTCCTTGACCTAATATAAAGCATGTTAGCACCTGTCCAGGAAATGAAATTGAAGTGAAATAACCTTGACAAGGAAAGTAACGGCCTCACGGCCATCAAGTAGTCGGTGATCATATGTGAGGGCAAGGTACATCATCTGTTGGAAAAGTAAGCAGATACTACGGAGGTGATTATGGGTAGGAAAGCCTCATACAGGGCGAATCTCGATTTTGCCGTTCACAACAACTGCTTTATCCTTGATCGCATGAAGTCCAAGAACAGCTCGAAGAAGTTAGAATATGTCGGCAATGATGATATGAGAAGGTTCTTACCTGTCTGTGGAAGATTGATGATAGGGGTCCCCATCAGAGAGCCAAATACCCCACCCTAGAAGAAGTGTTACCTCCGAGGAAGGCTTATTCCGAGAAGCCGCTTATGCACTTACGTTACTGATGGTGAAGGAGCCTCCAGCCATATCCTCGATAGTCAACTTGTTATCACGTGCCTAGTGGAAGCAAACAGTCAGCATTGAACAGATTTGCATGCATCGTTGACTAACCTTCTTGCCAAGATCAGCAATAGCCTTTTCAATGCCAACGAGGTCCATGGCCTCTGCATTACGGACTACTGGAGTCACTAGTCCTTTCTCAGTAGCAACTGCCACGCTTATATCCACGTAGTCACGGTAGACAATGGTATCCCCACCATTGGGTCCCTCGATGGACGCATTGACTGCCGGGACGTCTCTCATGGCCAGAACGCAAGCGCGAGAAAATGCGCTCATAAACCCAAGCTTCACGCCCGTCTTCTTCAGCACGTCCTCCTTGTATAGCTTCCGGAGTTCCATCAGCGAGGACATGTCAACCTCGTTGAATGTGGTGAGTGACGCCGCTGTGTTCTGAGACTGCTTCAAGCGCTCCGCGATCCTCAACCTCATCCTGTTCATCTTCACCTACAAACAGAACCAACCCAATTTCCAGAATCAGTAAGAGCTGAGACCAACTCAAATTGAGAGGGAGGGGGTTGCCAGACACATACCCTCCGTTCTTCGCGACCTCCAAGGTTGAGTCTGGCATCTTCAGGGGCCTGCGACTTGGGGGAAGTTGATTCTGCCTTCTTCGAGGGCCCAGGCGCCGGTATAGAAGCCTTCTCCGAAGAAGGTTTTGGGGGTTCTGGTGCCGTCTGCTGTCCCGATTCAGGAGCTGTGGGCTTGTCAGCAGCGGCTGACACGGCAGGCTTTTCGTTTGTCTCTTCTTTTTTAGCTTCAGGGGCGCCTCCAAGCTCCAACCTGACAAGATCCTGCCCAACGGTGACCGTGTCTTCTTCGCTCACAAGAAACTCTTTGATCGTTCCTGACTCAGGGGCATTAACGGACACATCGATCTATACAGGGTGAGCACGTAGTTATGGAAAGTTTCAGGCCAAGAAGATTCCTAGAATTAGTTCGCCGGATCTTCTTTGGTCTCGACCTACCTTGTCTGTTTCGATGGTTGCAATTTCTTCATCTCGTTCGACATAATCGCCGACCTCTTGGAACCCTATCAGTTTACTACAGAGAACCGTTTGCAGGAAACTCACGCTTCGAGAACTGCTTCAGCGTCCCTTCGGTGATTGACTCCGCCATCTGCGGAACTTTGACAACAGTGTCCGCTGCCAACAGAATTATAGTCCTGATTAGAGTGATGGCCCATAGAATTGAGGAGGATAATGATACCATATGTTCGGACTTGAGAAGCTCCAAAGGGGGAAATGGTAAAACGAGACATGTTCGGACTAGAAACAGTGATCAGCAGTCCATTACTTCAATATGTTGGTCGATTCTCACTGACCCGAAAGCGGCGACTTGCTGGAGTCCCGGGTTTGGCTTGATGTAGCCTCTGGCATTTTTCCGGAGGATGACTGAAGTGATGTTCCTGGAACCGCCAGAGTACATGTTGCGGACGCCATTGGGGTTTCGGGAGAGCGTTCTCAGATGTTGCCCAGAGAGACGATGAAACGGTAATCGAGAAGCCATATTAACTTAGTTATGAGGGAAGCAGAGACAAAGCTCGTTAGCTTGGGGTATATTAACGATGAGTAGCTGTGTGGTTGTAAGTCTTCAAGAAAGCCCGTCAGAGAGGATGGGTGATGTTATGTGTTGGCAGATGCTATAGATATTTCCTGTCGGGGATTGAGAATGACGAGACTTGTGTCGGTAGAAGAGAGCTCAAGGCCGGGCCGAAAGAACCGGAATTTCCCTCAGCATTCCCTGCGCCCGGCAAATGAACGGAGTATTATTATTACGCCTCTTCGGGTACCGAAGTATGCCAGCCTGGTACTTTCTCAGACCCGCCGAGAGCCAATAGCCAAACTGTCAAACAAGCTGCAACTTGTGCGAAGCTCTAGAAACTGCGAAACGAATAAGGGTATACCAACCCACTGACATCGGGCCCTCTAAAAACAACAATTATTCTAGAAAACTTATTCTGGAATAGCCATGCCTCTTAACACAGCAGCGTGAGTTCAGACTTCGACCAACACGTGTAATATAACCTGACCTCTTCTTATGCAGTTCGCTTTATCGACGGTCTTTGAAACTCTCACTTGACTGGGCTGTTCACCGACACGTCTGGAGAGGACAAGCAGTGTATATTCGCTCCCTTTTCGACGCCAATAAGGGCGTTCGCGACCCCCGTCAGCAAAAGGTAACCCCCTTGCCCCAACCACTCTACATCTTGCTTTGAACAAGCTGATACCAGAGCGAGCAGGTGCTGCTTCAAGAAACAGAAAAACTGCTAGAGACTTGGAAGCATCCCGATCCTTACCGCGCACCTACTGCTCCGGGTGGTGAGTATGATGAATATTGGAAGGCAGGCGAGTCATTATCTAAAAGATTTACAGGCAGCAAATACGAGAGAAACCTTCCAGCTCCTCAATTGCCGCGTGAGTAAAGATGATCCTTTTGGAACAGTAGCACTAACACGTTTTATCAGTTGCTCAACAACCACAAGGCCACTAATTTCAACTATAATTTCCTGTGGGCGCATGCTACCTTTAACGAAATTGCGAAGTGTCTCAAATGTGCTTCAGCCATCATAACAATTGAAGAGTACAAAGAATACACACATCACTTGCGATACAATTTAATTGGAGCGAACTCATGCTGAAACTTGACATGGAATTCATTTTGGATCCATGAAGATGCTACCGGTATCATTCCATGCCCGTAGACATAATGTACAACCATAAACTTCAAATCAACACTAAAAAGAAAACGCAGAGCCATAAACGTTCCGACCAGAACCCCGTTATCACATCAATAAGAGAACCAAACCGCGCCGAATCAGAGAACCCAAATTAGAAATAAATCGATCACAGCTCCTGGCTTCCAGAGCCCTTTCCGCTCTTGGGGGTCTTCTTGGGCAGAAGGTCTATGTAGCATTAGCATCATGAGATATAAGTATCATGTCAAACATACTTTGGTGGATGTTGGGGAGAACACCACCCTGGGCAATGGTAACGTGTCCCAGAAGCTTGTTCAATTCCTCGTCATTACGAATGGCGAGCTGAAGGTGACGCGGGATAATACGGGTCTTCTTGTTGTCGCGAGCAGCGTTTCCGGCCAGCTCAAGGATTTCGGCAGCCAGGTACTCCAGGACAGCAGCGAGATAGACGGGGGCACCTTGCGTGGTATTAGATTTGTTTACCACAGGAACAATGTTGGACTACTTACCAGCACCAACACGCTGAGCGTAGTTGCCCTTGCGGAGAAGACGGTGGACACGTCCGACCGGGAAAGCGAGACCGGCCTTCGATGAACGGCTAACAACTCATTAGCTCCCATTAGATACGCGATGCCAGGCGGGGTTCCCGTACGACTGGGCGTTCTTGCTGCCGCTGGCCTTGCCTCCAGATTTGCCTCCAGTCATTTTGATTGATGATATATTGAAACCGTGGGAAACAGAGGGTGGGGATTGGTGGTTAATGAGACGGAAATTCCGAAATCGCGATAGGGATAAGCAGGACGCGGTGTTAGAGGGTGGACGGCCAACGCGAGGGAGCGAAGGGCATATATAACAACGCGATTTGGGTGACGTTGGACGACCCGGGAGCCTTTCAGATCACCCTCTCGCTTAGCGGGGCTAGCCAATCACAGAAGAGATCATAGCCTGCCGCACCGATAGCTTGCCAAGCCTGGGTTTTGTATGATACCGCGCGAAGTCATTCCAACTGTGGCTTAGTGTGGTAATTTACCAATGATGTTATATTACGGTTTTACTGACGTGATCTGAGTCAACTTTCCGCGATGGATGACGCGTTTCCCCTCATCTAATCATACAGATCATACATAAACGTGACGGTATTGAAATTCTGCTTCTTTTGCGGATCTCAGGATCAACTGGGCATTTACAACCTAGTATAAGTAGCGCGCCTCCCTCGTCACCGCGTCTCCCTCATTCTCCTCCCCATTCTATCCTCCGTCCACACCCACGCCCACGTTACAACTCTGCTATACCCATCCACCAGCATATTATCCATTTTTCATATCTAGTACCGAATTCCGACCAACAACATGCCTCCCAAAGCCGCTGAGAAGAAGCCCAGCACCGGTGGCAAGGCCCCGGCTGGCGGAAAGGCCCCTGCTGAGAAGAAGGAAGCTGGCAAGAAGACCGCCGCCGCCGCTTCTGGTGATAAGAAGAAGCGTGGAAAGACTAGGAAGGAGACTTACTCGTCCTACATCTATAAGGGTAACTATTGCTGAACCGCGGACTCGTTGGATCGAAAACTAAAGCCCACTTTCAGTCCTGAAGCAGGTTCACCCCGATACCGGTATCTCGACCCGTGCCATGTCGATTCTGAACTCTTTTGTCAACGGTATGTTGCTTGAAACATGATCTGTGTTCCACGGTTAACTTACGCTCTTTCTGCAGATATCTTTGAGCGGGTTGCAACCGAGGCCTCCAAACTTGCCGCCTACAACAAGAAGTCTACCATCTCTTCGCGGGAGATCCAGACCTCGTAAGTGAACATTCTGTCGCCATAGATACCGGGTCCGTTCCTAACATTATCTTAGTGTCCGGCTTATTCTTCCCGGTGAGTTGGCGAAGCATGCGGTGTCTGAAGGCACTAAGGCTGTGACGAAGTATTCTTCGTCTGCCAAATAAGCATTTTCTTTTTGTCTTTGTTTTTATGCAGGATTGTTCTTTTGCCGCCTCGTCATCTGATATGACTGTGGTGGTGGGTTACAGGGTGTTTGCGGGATTTTTCTAATGTGTCATGGGATGGCTTGATTTCTTTTCCCTCTTGGGCCAAATGTTTTTATGGGCTTCGTGACGTGAATGCGGTGTAACATAACTCGGATTTGGGTTGGCTGCATGGGCTCGCCTTCCATTAGCCGAATTCGAATATCAAATTGCTCAGTTGCATAATCATATTACTCTGTATTATGATCATTTACGGTGTTGGACATCCTTGATAAAGCTAGCATAAATTGTGATCCTTGCCCACTTTCTCTGTTCAATCACTATCTTCCAACACCTCAACTTGGTCGAAGGCTTCTGCTTCTTGCTGGGAGTGGTTCACTTCGTTCAAAACGTGGATTATCGGTCTCCCTTCAACGGCTCTTACGCGGGTTATCCAATCCAGCCAGTCCTCTTCGTTTCGGATAAGGAAGCCTATCAGCATGCTGGGATCCATATCCTTGACATGAATCCTTCTCAGTCGCCGTGTATGATAACTATCGATGTTAACTGCCGAATATGGTTCGCTCAATTCCCGTTCTGGAATCGCCGGGCGAGTATTATGCGGGTCTAGGTAAAACAAAGATGATCCCTGGGTGCCAACAAAATAGTGAGACGCGGACGGGCGTCCTCTGTCAACGTCAGCTGTGACTGATGTGTAATTCAGACCGGGGTGTGGGAGTATACCCTGCAATCCCGACAGATTGGGGAAACCGCAATACAGCTTTTAGCCCGTCCCAATATACGGGTGTAATGTGGTCGATACCTAGCCGGGTTCCTAGGAGAATGAGGGTGGGCTGGAAGACACCCATGTCGTTTTGAGCGACACTCATGAACTTGTCTTGGTAAACCTCTGAGGTATCATTCGTCACGTATACCTTCAGTGGCAAATTGTCACACTGGGATGAAAGAGTCCTGTTTTGCTATTAGCCTTCTAGTTCAGTTGTGGAGTTGGAACTCACTCTATGCATTTAGCAGTTGCAGAAGGGCCGAACCATTCTCCTGGGTGTTTACCGCACGACTCTGCGCCATGCTTTACAAAGCGGTGTATTGAGAACGGGGCACTCGGAACGTCAGCAAAGAGTGATAGCAACTGTGACTCTTCTCTAGGACTCTCCTGCCGGCGCCAATCTAGATGCGTGTTAGTACATCACCACAGGGATATGTGCACGCTACAGTACCTCGCCCCATCAGCAATATAGAGATTGCATTTGCCAGCAGGCTTTGGCCAGATCGAATCATGCAGCCCCATCCAGTATCCGAGGTGAACCCTTGCGTATCTACGAGTTGACTTCTCAGACGTACGCCTAGTGTCATAGATATATTCGAGTCGCCACCGTCGAACTTTGGTATCGGTGGGAAATTTGATCGATAAGTCATCCATATCCTCGATTCGAAGTCTGACAAGAACAACTCTGGCCAACCATAATCTTGTTGTTTCCAGGGCCTTGCTGGCTCCGTCGTACTTTTGTACGGGTCGCCCCCACTGGCTATGTAAGATATTAGCCATGTATGAAAAAAAATATTGGAAAATTTATATGTATACATTGAGTCATGGAATTGTGTAGGGCCTTACGGGTCTTGCTCCCGGCAGGTGCATCCGAATCGGGGGGGTACTCTATGCCTAGGCACCAGATCGATGCATCAGGTTCTTCGTCATTTCTGGGTTCCGGGTCCCAGAGATACTGTACGATGCGTTTGCTGCATCGTCCTATGTCCATACTGATGGCACCTGCTATCGTGTTGGCACCTTGGTGTGTCTCTCCGGTCGCACGAGAGTGGTAGTTGAGGTGAGGTGAGGTGTGGCAGACTGGCAGTACGTCACCGTAAAGTAAATATAGCCCCGGCCCACTGGAATTGTGGAGGCAGTCGGGGTTGACGGGTGTCTATCGGTTCAATATGATTATACTAGTCACCAAATAGTGGGGGGGCAACGACCCAAAGGTACTTGGTTGATATGGGGTGTCTAGTGGCACTGCGATAAACTTACAATCATGGGGAGGGGTCATACATTCCTTAAAGTTATATGTTCCAGTGGTCACGGGGCAGGCTAGTTCAGATAGATAAACAATCAAGCCCCCCACTGTTTAATTATATATATAGGTGCCAGGAGGCCTGAGAACACTACAAACAGGTGGTATGTATAACAACACGAAGGAAGGTTGGTACACAGAGCAACAGTAATAGGTTGATGTTTGGCGTACACTCATACCAGCGCATGTCACGTAATGGTCATTACTTATCCAGGCTGTGGAAATGCAGTGTAGAGTAGCATCCAGTACGGAGTAGATAGACAAACCAGCATGGATAGATCAGGAGTACGTTGTACAACCACAAGATATTCAAGGGCTCCCTCGCATAGGGATCTCCCTCTCCGCAAATGTTAGGACAATTTACTACCCCCTGATGTAATAGAGGTACTAATGGAAATATTTTACTAGTTGATAGTCATGATTATGCATCAGGTCATGTGATGGAGTGTACCGTAGGTACAGTAGGGGACTTCTGCCACCAACTTTCTGAGGTTCCTGTTTACGCATTAGGTTTAGCGCAAGTACATTGGGAAGGCGGTCGTTTGAGCAAGTCATCGGATATTATGAACTCAACAATGATACGGAATATTATCAGCTGAATAAACACTGAATGAAGAGTGCTGTCTACAACTTGTGCGCGTATACGGAGTATCAGTGGCTGACATCCTCACAAATACTACACCATAAGAGGCCCATAAAAATCTTATCATACCAAATACAGCATAGCCTGCATCCTTCCTGTTATAGTTAGCGCTGGGTACTGCTGGCAGAACAGTGGAACACGGGAACTTCAGAAAGTTGGTGGCAGAAGTCCCCTAGTAGTAACTGTCTGCCTATACGGTAAATAGGCAGTTATTAATAGACAGTAGGAGGAAGAAAGAGACGGTAAGTAATGGAGCCAATGACTTCCCTATAAGCCATTGCTGGGCAGATGGGGGAAAATGGTAAAAAGGCGGAAAGACGAGGGTATTCACCGCCTACCGTGTTCACTCTGGCCAAGAACCAGATGTTTACTCCACAGCAAAAGAGCTGATCGGGCTGATCTTTCACCATCATCATCTGGTCGTGGGCCTTCACCCACAACGACCTCCACGAGCAACTTGACACAAAGCAGTATCGCACGAAGATATCCATAAAGATGACTCGATCTCTCAAGGCGAAAGATCGCAACAAGAAACAGAAGGAAGCGGGTGATGGATTGCCTGGTATGGTGACCTCCACAGAAAATATAGAGTTTTATTGCTAACGTCCGCGAGACCACTACAAGAACCACCTCACAATGCAGCAGGAAGCACGGAATACAGAGGGACGTGGAATTTGGAGGACGGGTGTCTCCCTTCGCCACCGGACGGTCCAGTTTGTGTGCGCGCAGGATTCGCGTCTTGATCAAGAAATAGAACCTCCATCGCCAAATGTGACTGAAGATATATGTACCGAAAAGGCCGCAAAGGAAAAGCCTTGTCATCCTACCGACATATCATTGCCAGGATATCAGGGAGAATTTAATGACTTGGTTGCCAAAGCTGCACGCGTGGTAAACCCGGACTCGGTCACCAGCTCCTTGCAGACTTCGACAGACTCCAGCGAAGATGAAATCGTTTTTCGTGGGCGAAGGAAAGATCAAGACTGGAAATTACTTTCCACCAGTTCCCGGGTGCAGCAGTCCATTATTGGCAATAATAGTACACCATTCGGAGGCATCCAGAGAGGAGACCTGCAATCGCCCCCTGCCAAGCCCGGGAACGAGTTCTTTTCTATCTCCGATGATGCCTTTGATCCAACACCAGACAGAGAAGATGTCACATATTTTCCACTCAATCTAAAGAAACAGAAAAAAGAAGGCAGGAGGACGATGGACGAGAACGATGCCCTTGCTGATTACATAGCGAACATTGATGAAGAATACCTGATGCCAAATAGTCATTCACATTCAGTTGAAACTCTTGGCCACGATATTCAAGCTAGCGATCCGGCGATGCCTATCGCAAGCCTCAACTCGATGAGTTCTGCGTCCATGAAATTGTTGATTTCGCATGACGATCAATCGCCCCCACAAAGGAATGATAGATCCACGATACAAGAGGGTCACGGGAACCGCAACGTGGGCGTCTCAGGATGTAAGTGAATAAACTACAACTATTGGCACTACCTGTCGTGTAGCCGCTTACTTGTTTAGGCCAAGAAGATAGGGAACATACAGAGATGGAAAGCTTTCTGCATACGCAACACCCGCAGTCAGATGCCGATAGCAATGCTTCATCAGGCATTTCTGATACACATGATTTAGAGAGCGATGAATCAGATGTGAGCCTCTCTCCCCTGCCCCCCGTATCCGTCTAACCACGGAATACCCATGTTACACAAAATGTCGTGTAAAGAGGCCATTTGATTGATTCCCAGTAGGCTTCGGACGCCCCGGAGAGAAATTTTTTTGCATCAGCTACTTCTTTCGCCAAAGCCCTAGAATCCGACCCTTATTATGGGTTTGATATCATGGATTTCAATCGGCCAAGTTTAAGAAAACAATCCAAAGGCAAAGGCCGTGATTTAGATGCCATGATTTCAGACAGTGGCCTTGATTCCGAATTGGTGAATGCATGGCGAAATGATAGGAGGAAGAAAAAATTTAGAAAGCAACAAAGGGAACAATTGCGTGCACAGGGACTGCTAGGTCGAGCTCGTCAGGCTCCAGATCTGAAAACAAAATATGCAAATGGAATAGACCCGGAAGATCTGAAAGAGGAAATTCGACAATTTCTACAGTCGCCAAAGAACAGGTGCTCTCCACTACGCCCCCCTCCTGCCCTACCCCCCTCGCCCTCTCCCTATCCAAAGCCAAAGATCGCAGGGTTTCCGTGACTCTCAGTTTTCTAACAACGGGTTCCGCAGTTTGGCTTTACCATCTATGGCAAAACAGCATCGGAAGCTGATTCACGAGCTCGCCAACTCCTTATACTTGAACTCGCAATCTCGAGGTAAAGGATCTTCTCGATTTCCAATAATACATAAGACATCTCGAACTCCCCCATTTACACCGAAGACCGTCGGTCAAATTGACCGGATCCTGTCCAAAGGGCGTCTTGGCCAACGCGGGTTCAAGACGCGGGACCAGAATTCTAACAAGACTAAACCTCGCCGTGCCCGCCCAGAGTCATCTGTCTCTTACTTGGATGGCGAAGTCGTGGGCGGGTCTGCTCCTGAAATTGGTGCAGAAAACAGAGGTAGGGCCATGCTTGAAAAGATGGGGTGGAGCACTGGTACTCCCCTTGGTGCAATTAACAATAAGGGGATCCTATTGCCTGTTGCCCATGTTGTGAAGAATTCAAGGGCTGGCTTGGGATAAATTGAACAAGCCGCTATCTCAAATATAATAGGCTAAAGCTCATTCCGTATATCGGGTAGTACCACCATGACTACCTTAGGCATCCCAAGTGGCTTTGAATGTTAGACTCGCAGAGAAGGGGGGGGGGGGGGGTTAAAAAAGCTCTTGTATCCTGGAAGTAAGTGGTTGGAATCTTGTCTTAGAGGCCTATTTCAGTAGAAGAAGACACGGGCAGCAATATCTCGATATATAAGTTCCTAGTCGGATAGGGTATAGGCACGTTGCAGTCGACCTCTCTAAATCTATCTCTTTTTCCTGTGCTTCGGTATTGTTTGTGGTTTTGCATGATCCAATTCCGTTAGATGGGAGAAAAGCTGGGACTTGGTGGCAAACAAAGCATTGCAGGTCGCACATCTGATCTCTGGCCGCTGGGTCTCCAAAGATTTGGGGTTTTTCATGCGCTTTTGTTTAGCCTTTCCCAATTTCTGAACTGTTGGCTGGTTGTTCAGATCTAATCCCGAAAGATCTTGAGTCAATCCATCCGTTGCGTTTCCAGCATTAATTGAAATATCGACAGGATGTATTTGGCCTTCAACCGAATCTCTCGAAGCGTCATCAGTATCGTCATCCGAAGGTGGGTAGTTATTTTTCGGTGAGTTAATAGATGAAATGCGATTCTCATATGTGCAATGATCAAAGTTACCGTCAGGATTTCTGACCTCTTGCGTGCTGCTTCCATCATCATTTCTAATGTTGTTGCACAGAGTTGTATGAGTTGATATAGTTGCGAATGATCCACTGGCCTTTTCTGTAGGTATTGGGTCTTCGTTAAGGGCAAAGGTTGTTGCAGCTTCTGCCTCGTACTTGAAAGAATCCCCTGCCAAGCCCAGTTTTCTATTCTCATTCCTCATTTCCTTCTGAAGTTGCTTAACAGCTTTAACATGTTTCTTGCTCCGTTCATGTGCAACGACCTGTTCCACACTCTTGAAGACTTTCCGGCACACAACACACTCGAAATGTTGCATCTCTCCCTCTGAGCTAAACAGCTCGTCTTCGAAATCCTCCGACTTGGCCCAATCTTGTGTCGTATAATCTCGTAACTTTGCCTGGTTTGCTGCTCGTGATCTGGCAGCTTGCGAGGCAACAGATTGTCGCAGGGCTTCCTGGCGCTGAGACTCGCTCTGAGCACTGGATTTGTAGCGTGGGTCGCGCTTTCTTACAAAAGTCACAAGCGACCTAACAGCATCATTGAACTCGCGTATACCTTCGTCTCTCAGACGTTTATTTTCCTTTTCCATCAGCCTTCGAACGCGACGATCTGGAGCATCCGAATAACGATGGACATCTTTCCACGCGAATGTCTTTCTTGTAGAAAAACCAGTCCATGACGCATAAAATGGGCGTACAACTGCTTCAAAATTGTCATCACGAGATCCGAATGGCGGGTAATCAATTGACTCTGTATTTGTCCCGCGACAAGCGATCTGCTCCTCCATGGCAAGACGCGAAAATATTTCAGAGAGGCCACCATAGAATCCATCTGGGGAATCGGAAAATTCCATCCCAGGACTGAACCTTGGGAATAGCTTGTAGATGTCATTTGCAGTTGTTGTCCGAGCATTAGACGAGATGTCGGGTGTTCCAGGACCACCATAGCTTCCTAGCATGACATCTCGATGAGCATTGTACCATGAGCGCTCCTGAGGATCTGAAAGGACCTCATAGGCAGATTGGATTTCTGCAAAACGCTTGGTGGCAGATTCCGCGTTCCCATAATTTCGATCGGGGTGCAATTCAAGGGCCTTTTTTCTATATGCCTTTTTGACTCTAGACAACAGTGTATTATTATTAGCTTTCGACCATTTTCAGTGTTCAGCTCCATCGACTTCATAATTTCTCGGGTTATCTCTTTGAATAATCTCATCCCGTCTTTCTAGTATTCAACGTAGAAGCTTTTAGATACAAACATGAAGTGAAAGGCTGAAGAGGACAAAATAACGTGCTGGGCTTACTCCTCTGTAGATGCATCCTGATCTACCTGCAAAAGATCATAATAGTCGGCTATCCGATGCGATTCTTCATTGGGGCGATCTGCGCTATGTGCGTTATTTGTGGAGTAACTTTGACCCATGGATAAAATTGCAATGTTGAGCAGCGAACAGACGCTGATTGTGGATACGGTGATAGCAATATTTCTCTTTTCGGGGTTGTAAAGGGAGGTAGACGGCAGAACTTGGCTCTTGGTTGGCTTGGCTCGGATCCGTTGCACCATCAAAACGGCACTTTGACTCCTTGCCAGCGGTGCAGCCTTACTACCATCCCATTGATCCCATTTATCTGTGCCACATGCACCGGAATGGTTCCATATCTTGACTGCTTCCCTGAAGAATTACTACGCCACATTATCAGGTATTGCCAACCATATTCCACTACCGCTTTAGAACAGACTGCGCGTCGGTTTCGCGAAGTTACAAATGAGCCCTTATTGTGGCGTTACTATTGTTTGAGCGACTTTAAATATTGGGCTCAAGAGCATGAATTTCCAAAGAAGGTTGCAGGTCCTGTACTGAGTGTGAACTGGAAGTCACTTTATAAATCAAAGCACTTAAGATATCGCGCAACCTGCCGTTCTTTGGATGGCATACTTGCAACCCAGACCAGACGCCTTGACAAGATCCAAACAATAATAGATCTCGGGTACGATGCTAAGGATGCCCTCTTGCAGAATTTCTCAGTACACCCGGAAGTCGAAGATTACCTAGCAAGAAGGTTTGGGATCTCTACGCTCGCCGGATAAGGGCATGTTGTTCTAACTATCTTCCGATCTTCAAGATACTATGCCGAAGCACTTCTAACCAGCTTGCACCGAAGTGTCGCTGTACGAGAATGGGCTAGGCTGAAGAATGGTGAGGAATTAGCTCTAGATAGATTATTGGGTGCATTTGACCTTTTTATCCCCAAGAGCGGTCTTAAGAGCTTGGATGAGGTACGTAGGGCGGCGATCTGCTACAATTTGACTTCTAACGTGATTATAGATAAGCGACCGGCTGGATGGGATTTCCATGCTGATGAATCTGGCTTACCCTGCAATCGATCGGCTTACAACTCGTGATAAGGCTAGAGCTGTTGCGAGTTTCTTAAGGGTAAATAATCTTACGGGCATCGAGCCTGATAAGGAGTATCATTGCCTGGAACATAACTTTTTAGGCATTGCTTTGAGCGATCCTCGGCATAATTCACTCCCTCTAGTGTCGGCCACTATCTATTGCTATGTGGCCCAGCGTGTCGGAATCGATGCCAGGCCATGTGGCTTTCCTTTCCATGTTCATGTGATAGTCCTGCCACCGAGTGGCTGTGATGTCGACGGTAACATTCTTGAAGCTGGAAGGCAGGGGACCCCGATGTATATGGACCCGTTTCGATCAGACCTTGATACACCAGTTGCCGATCTGGAATATCAGTTGGCCTTCCTGGGTACATCTCCTACGGAGCAGGCGAACTTTCTAGGCGTATCTCAACCATTAGAGATTGTTCTGCGATGCAGCAAAAATATACTGAATTCCTTGCGACACCTGGCCCAGATCTCACATAAAGAGCTGACATCAGTTGATGTGATTGGTGCTAAATATGCTGCTATTTGGTCGTCTATGTTACTTTCTTATGGTACTAGGCCGACAGAATTCAGACATAACCTGCAATGGCTGATTGAGCTTCTCAATACCGAATTTCCGCTGGATATACACCTGGTTGAACAGTATGTCATTCCTCTCATTCATGGGTTGCCTGAGTATCAAGATATACTTCAGAGCCTTCATGCAATGCGCGGAATGGACGAGATACCCAGGCGGGTGAAGCGGCGCTCTTCTCAGGTCTCCGAGATCAAGTATAAAGTCGGTCAAGTGTTTAGACATCGTCGATACGGATACCGGGCTGTCATTACAGGCTGGGACGTGGAGTGCGGTGCAGGGGAAGAAAGGATCAGAAGGATGGATATCGATTACTTGAAGGGTGGCAGGCATCAAAACTTTTATCATGTACTGTATGTCTTGCTTGGCTTTTGTTTTGGCTATGTTTTTGACGCTGACCTTGTCTCTAGTGTCGAGGATAGGAGTATTCGTTATGTTGCCGAGGAGAATATCGAGCATATGGAACCTGAATTGTCCGATATTCCGCTAGCTCTTGTTTTTGTAGCAGGGAAATACTTCAAGAGGTGGGATGAATTGACCAAAACATTTGTCAGTAACATCCAGGACGAATATCCAGAACGTTAGTGTGGCATTGTTGGTTTGCCATGGGCGTAATATATATGATATTGGCTCTTAAGTATTGATTGATTGGTTCAAAGTAGCAAGCACCCTTATAACCTGTGCTTAGTTAAGTCTTATTACTTATTGGCACTTATTATCTTGTTCTATTTTTTGTTCCTTGTTGCCTAGATGTGTGAGGATCTTGTTAAGTAACCGGCTCATGATGAGCTTGTAGTACTGTAGTATAAGGGATAAAGTGGTGGTGGACAGTGTGAATATATATTTATCAGAAAGTCAAGATATATAAAATTTTATTAAAAATACTAAAATTAATTTATTATCTCTTATTTTTATATGTAAATATATTTAAAAAAAAACTTTGTAAAATATATAGTGAGATATTTATTAATATAATATCTGTATTGCCAAGATGCGGGCGAACAGGATGTAGAACAGGTGCTATAACAGGCAGACAGGCTGTTATGGGATATATTCTATGTCAAGATGCGGGCGGGCTGGAGTAGACTAGTAGTAGAAAGATAGTTCAAGCAGGAAACAACTATTAACAGAATATCTGAATAATTGATTAATAATTAGACTAGATATTAAGAAATAAATAAAATATAGTTTAAAATTATAAATAAAAATTTAAAAATAAATAGATTTTATTTTAATAGAGTGGCTAATAGTCAGATCAGATTAGATTAATTAGAATTTTTATATCTAATCACCAGATTATGATTAGATTAAGAAAATTTTTATATCTAATTATAATATAGCTAAAAATTAGATAATTAATTATTTTAATTATTCTTAATATTAAGATTTATCTACTATATTTTTTTAAATTTTAATATAATTAAGATATATCTAGATTAAATAATTATTAATCTGATTATTTTTATTATTATTTAAAAATATATAAAAAAAAGCTTTTTAAATTAAAAAAATATAATTAAAAGAAATTAGTATTTTTTTTATTATTATTTATTAAAAATAATAAGAAAATTCTAGTTATATTAATAAAATTTAGCTTTTTATAAAATTATTATTTTTATAATAAAAAATATATATAAAAATATATAATTACTGCTTTATTTTAGTTATATATTTTAATTATATTATAAAATATTAGAAAAATTATATATTAATTATTAATTAAAATACTAAGAATAAATATATTATTTTTATTTTATTATTTTTTCTAGATTAGATTATTTTTAGATTTATAAATAAAATATAGCTCGAAGAGCTATTAATAAAATTAGATATAAATTATAAATTATATATAAAATAATTAAAAAAATAGTTAGATTATTAGAATAAAGCAGATTAAATAAATTAGATAAATAGAATAAATAAATAAAATAAATAAAATATACTAGATTTATATTATAATATTATAATTTTTATAAAAAGTTTTATAAAAAGTTTTTATAAATTTTTTTTATAAAAATCTATTTTCTACTCTAATTTATTATATCTTAAATAATTTTATTTAAAAAAAGAAACTATTTTATAATTTTAGATTTTAAATATAAATTCTTGCTTATTAGATTTATTAAAATATATAAAATATAATAAATATATTAGCTGTATATTAAAATATAATAAATTATATTTATATAAAAATATATCTTAAAATAAAATAAACTATTTTTATAGAATTTTCTGCTTTTATTTTTCTAAATTAAAAACTTAGAAACTAGTTTTATAAATTATTATCTTTATAAGAATTATAAGAAGAAATTATTATTAATTATATTTAAATAAATAATTAGTTAAATATTAAATAAAGATTTATTATAGATATTTATTTATTTTTTTAAAATAAATCTTTTTTAATTATTATCTTTTTCTAGATTTTTATAGTCTATAATAAATAGGATTTTTAAAATTAAATTCTATATTTTATAATTATTTATTATCTATTATTTTAAATTATTAAATATATTTAATTTAAATAGATAATTAATCTTGCTGCTTTATCTCTTTATTAAAAATTAAGTTTTTTTAATTAAATATAAATTAAAAAATATCTTATAAAACTGTCTGAAGAAATATATATATATATAATTATTATTAAAATTTCTAAATATTAAATAGATATTAATTATAGTAGACTATTAAATTAATTCTAATTAAAAAATATTTTTTATTTTAATTAGATTTAATTAGATTAATTAGATTAATTAGTTAAATAATTATATTTTAAATTTAATATTTTATATCTTTTTTTATTTTTTTATACTAGATTCTGTAAAAGTTTTTCTCAGAATATAATATATTTCTTAAGATAATTAATTAAGTAGATTAAGTAGTAGACTATATTTAAAAAATATTATTATATTTATATTATAATTAAATATATATTATATTTTATATATTATTTATATAAAAAGAATATATATATTATAAATTAATCTATAATTATTAATTTATTTATTATATCTAATTTTTCTAATTAATAAATATAAATAATTATAGTAATAATTATATCTTAATCTAATCTTAATTATATAGTTAAAAATCTTTTATATCTTAATCTAATTATCAGATTATAGCCAGATTAAGATTAAGATATAATAATCAGGTTAAGCCACTCTATATTTTAATAAAAAGTTATATATTTATTAATTAATTTTGATAATATTTTAAGATTTTAATAAATAATTCTATAAAAAAGGTTTACAGTCTTTTTAAGATTATATTATAATAATATTCTTTTTTTTTAATCTAAGCTTCTGTAAGAAAAAGACTAAGACTTTTTAAAATAATAATAATAATAAATCTTAATAAATTAAAAAATATTTTCTAGATATTTTAAAGATTTTATAATAAAATTAGAATATTTTATTTATTTAATAAAGTAAATTAAGTAAAATTAATTCTGATTTTAATAACTTTAAACTAAATCTAATATTTTTTTAATTTTTTATTTTTTAAAATTATTAATTTTAATATACAGCAAAAAGAGCTGATATTAATTTAATAATAGATTATTATTAATAGAAATAAATAGACTTATATTAAATATTAGATAAATTTTTATATTTAATAAAAAATTAGATAATAAATATATAAATTATTAATTTTTTTAATTAGAAATAGTTTAAGAATATTTTAGTTAAGTTTTTTATTAAATTATAGAATTTTAATAAATTAATTATTTAATTAAATATTTTATTTTTTCTGAAATCTTAAATTAAAATAATATTTTTTATTTATTTATTTTATATATAAAGACTAAGCTGTAATTATTTTAGCTTATATAAATTTAATAATTATTTATATTTTAATAATAAATTATTTTATATTTCTAATAGCTAAATAATTGAATATAATTATAAATTTAAATTTTATATAAGAATAAAAGCTATAATTAGTAAGAAATAGAATAATCTTAATAATATTTAAATAAATAATATTTATTTATTCTGTTTATTTATTAATTTCTGAATAATAAATTATAAATAATTTATTTATTATATTTAAATATTAAATAAAATATTTCTAGAATTTAGAGTGGCTTAACCTGATTATTATATCTTAATCTTAATCTAGCTATAATCTGACAATTAGATTAAAATATAAAAGTTTTTTAATTATATAATTAAGATTAGATTAAGATATAATTATTATTATAATTATTTATATCTATTAATTAAAAAGATTAAATATAATAAATAGATTAATAATTATAGATTAATTTATAATATATATATTTTTTTTATATAAATAATATATAAAATATAATATATATTTAATTATAATATAAATATAATAATACTTTTTAGATATAGTCTACTACTTAATTTATTAAATTAATTATCTTAAAAAATATATTATACTCTAAAAAAGACTTTTATAAAATCTAATATAAAAGAAATAAAAAAAGATATAAAATATTTATTTTTTATATTATTCAGAATAATAATTATAATAATATAGAAATTATAAAGACTAAATCTCTATTTTTATTTAAATATATATAATAATTAAAAACTTAAATAAGATTAATTTTTTTAATTTTAATAATAATTTATTTTTTAGATTATTTTCAAGATTATCTATATTTTTATTTTTATTAATATAAAAAATAGTAATTATTTATTCTTTTCTTATTTTTTAAATATAAAAATAATTAAATCTGAATTAAAATTATTAAATATATTCTAATATTTCTTATTTATAATAAAATAATTAATATATATTTAAAATATAATTATTTTAATTATATTAAAATAAAAACAGCTCTGATAATAGTAGTAAATATTTTAAAAATTATTAAAAAAATATTTAATATTAATATTATTAATTATAATTAAAAGAAAATCTCTAATTATCTGATAGAGAATAAAAAATTAAGTATAATAAAATTTTTAATAAATAAGAATATTAATATATTTTATAATATTTAAAATTATATTAATTTAATTAAAGATATCTTAAGAAACTATATATTTTTAATATTTAAATATATCTTAAGTTTTTTATATATTTTAACTATAAATAAAAGTTTTCAGTATTTAAAGATATTATAAAAAATCTTATTTAGATTTAATAATAATCTAGAGATTATTAATAATATATTAATTATTAGATTCTAATTATAATAGAAAGAGAATATCTTCTTTAAAAAAATTTAATATTTATAATATTAATTAATATTATTATTTAATTATATATTTTTCTTAAATTTTTTAAGCTTTAATATTAGATTTAAAATAATTATAATTATATAAATATAATTTTTTATTTAATAAATATAATAATAATATTTTTAGAGCTTTTAATATATATTATATAAATTTTTAAAATATTTTTTTAAAATATCTGCTTTCTTTCTAGTCTGTTAATTAAATAATTTAGATAATTAAAAAAATTATTATAAATATTATAAATCTTATAAATAATAGACTTACTATTCTTAAAAAGATAAAAAAAAGAGAGATATAAAAGCTTAAAAAAATATTCTATTTATTTTAATTAATTATTAATAAAATAAAGATAATTAATATTAT